ACCCCAGCTGTAGCTAGAAAGAGCTATTTGCCAAATATTATTTTTCAAAAATCAAAAATGAAATTACCACCTCCCACATTATTTTTCTGGAACATGCTGTGACAACCCATATTCTGCGTCTGGCCTGGAATTTCAAAGGGTTGCGATACTGGTCAAGCCCTTTCTCTGGTTCCCAATTATAGCTGAGATTTCTCATCTTGACCAAAACCTCAGAGCCCATACACTTCATGTGCCAGTGTTTTGATAATGTGCACACAAAAGTGCTTCAAAGTCAGCCAAAGTCCATGAAAGACTCTAGTTCACTTAAACTGTACTCCAAATATTTGCACTGATGCAGGAACTTCATGTAAACAGCTGCATACCACTGAAAATATCTTACAAGTACCTGTTCGGTGGAATTCTTCAATAAACTTATTCACAATGCTAAAAACCAAAAAAATCCAAACAGCATTAGTCCAATCACAAGACCAGGTTTCTTAAGAATATATGAAGTAAGTTTCTGAACAGGTACAGGAATGTATTTATCAGCAGGATAGACAGGATGTGTAAGAACACAGCGACACCAGTATTTTAAACAATGTGTTTCTTTAAGAGGGAGGTTCCCAGCTGCTAAGCAGTAGATGCTGCTGTCATTGCTGTTTCTTATCTCTTATAAGGAGAAAAATGGTGGCAGGACCTGGTTTGCTCTTTGCCAGTTGGAATACAGTAAGCAGAAACCTCAGCCCCTGTAATCGATATGTGCATCTCTGTTAAGATGCTCTTTCCAGGGATAAAATCTAGTGGCTGCCTATCACTAAAGGACAAAGTTTGCCCAAATAATTACAAGTTCATTTGCATTTGCCTCCTTAGAATTGGCCAAAAGAAGTTTTCTTTTTTTAAGTGTAGCTCAGGAAAACAATGAACGCGAATTCAAGGTAGTTGAATTGAAGCAATTCCTCAGTAATAGAACCAACGAAACGCTTTCTGTAGCATGTGGCCTCAAAACTGGAAAAGGAGACTTCAACACAAGTTTCAGCTACTGGGTGGATATTTATTTTCCTTTAGAATAAAACATTTTCATGTACATAAAGAAACAAAATTTATATATGGCACTACTGAGCCAAAGATCCAAATGACTCAATAAGTATCTCTGAACAACATTTAACTGCACCAGTGCACACAGTATTTGTGAAAGCACCATGCATCAAACAGCACCAGAAGTCTACAGAGGCATTCAAACATGAATCTTTCAAAGAGAAGCTGATTTTTGTACAGGCTTATAAACCAGTCAAGTTTAAATCAATTTCCCTTTGAGAGCAGAAAGTGAGACTTATTTGGGACTTATAAGCTGCATGCCAAGACTTTATACAGAGATAAGTTTCATTCGTTTATACTGGAAGAAGCAATGTAATAAGAATAGAAGCTCAACACATCCCAGCAGTGTGTGCTGACAGTCCAGAAAGCCAACTGTGTCCTGGGCAGCACCAAAAGGAGTGTGAGCAGCAGGTTGAGGGATGGGGTTCTCCCCCTCTCCTGTACTCTGGGGATACAAGGTCTGCAATCCTACATCCAGCTCTGGGGCAACAACATAAGAAGGACATGGAGCTGTTGGAGTGAGTCCAGAGGAGGCCACAGATGCTGCAAGGGCTGGAGCAGCTCTGCTCTGGAGCCAGGCTGAGAGAGCTGGGCTGGGTCAACCTGGAGAAGAGAAGGCTCCAGGAAGACCTTAGAGGAGCTCCACTGCCTAAAGGAGCCAACAAGAAACCCAGAGAGGGGCTTTTGACAAGGGTCTGTAGGGACAGGACAAGTGGAATGGCTTTAACCTGCCAGATATTAGAAGGAAATTCTTTGCCATCCCTGGCAGTGTTCAAGGCCAGGTTGGACAGGGCTTAGAGCAACCTGGTCTAGTGGAAGGTGTCCCTGCCAGTGGCACAGGGCTGGAACTGGATGAGCTTTAAGGTCCCTTCCAACCCTATGATTCTATGAAAAATAATCAAGTAGATACGTTCGTTCATTCGGGTATTTCATGTGCTCATTATTGTCCACATACCACTGAAAAATGACCGTCGTAAAACTACCTGCTAGGGATTTGCCTGTTTCTGATACCAGTGACTCAAACAAGTACATATTGCTTCTTCCTTAGTATTTTTGGATGCTGGTTCATAGACTGTTCTTTTATTTAATTCTCTTTTTGTTTTTGTGTCAGGGTGAGTGTTCCCAGAAGTGCTATTACATCTTCGTCATAGAGACCATCTGTGTGGCTTGGTTTTCCCTCGAGTTCTGCCTCCGATTCATTCAGGCAAGGAGCAAATGTCAGTTCTTCAAAGGACCCCTAAATATAATTGACTTCTTGGCTATTTCACCATACTACATTTCCCTCATCTTCTCAGAGGATGACTCAAATGAGGAGGACAATAGGCCAAGTAGCAACACATATTTGGAGAAGGTTAGTTTGGTGCTACGGGTTTTACGAGCCCTGAGGATCTTATATGTAATGCACCTTGCCCGACACTCCTTGGGCTTGCAGACCTTGGGCCTCACAGTTCGGAGGTGCACACGGGAATTCGGCTTGCTTTTACTCTTTTTATGTGTTGCTGTCACTCTGTTTTCTCCCTTGGTCTATCTCGCCGAGAATGAATCTGGGAAGGTGCTCGAATTTACAAGCATACCTGCTTCTTACTGGTGGGCCATCATTTCAATGACCACTGTGGGGTATGGGGATATGGTACCACGAAGTGTCCCAGGCCAGATGGTGGCTCTCAGCAGCATCCTCAGTGGAATTCTCATCATGTCGTTTCCTGCGACATCAATATTCCACACTTTCTCCCATTCCTACTCGGAGTTGAGAAAGGAACATGAACGAATGCAGTCTCGGCTAAACAGAGTAAAAAACGCCAATCACTCTGGTGAAAGTGACACCTTCAATGAGACAGATAGCTTAATCCTGGAGGATCCGGCATCACCAATTAAATACATTTACAAAGGGAACTAAGCCTGGTTGTAAAGCATTCCCAAGAATAAGAGCAGAAATATACACATCTCTATGTCAATATAATACAATAGCAAAGCAACAACACCAGTTACAACACTGCTTTCTGTCAGCATAGGTATAAGAAGTACTCAAGCCAACACATCTAGCTCAAACACATCATTATGGAGCTGGAGGTTTTGAGAATGTCAAAAGTCAGAGTCTATTCAATAATAAGTATTCATTCTTCTCTATAACTAGTAAGAATAAACTCTGCCAGTCATGTATCTTGGTGAATATGTAATATTGAATGAGTAACAAACAAAACAGCTTCTGTCGGCACAAATACACTTACTGTTTTATTTGCCTTTGAGCTTCTAATGTTCATGCAATTAACAACTTGAGCCAAGCACTAGAAAGCATTCTTTCAGGGCTACGCACCAGTGTTGTTTGTACAATGCTCATCCACCAGGCATACAGAAGAAGCCTCGATACAAAAATGAATTCTGTATCTAAAACCACTAACAAGCTTAAAGTAAAAGCACTGTATGTGGAAGCTTTCAAAGTTTGCCTGTAGCCAGACTATCAACCTATTAGTAACAAATTGCACTGCTATTGTATGAAATACATAGTGTCTGCAAAAGAATTCGCTTGAAGTGCAGTTGCGGTGTGCAAACTGTGAATGTTTCATACTAGAAAGCAAAAGTTTCCAAACTTTTTTCATATACTTATTTAAAATAGGGAATAAAAATAACAAGGAATAAAAAGAAAAAAAAAAAAGCTTATTGACCATATTGAAAAGAGTTGGTGTTATCTTTTTTACTGAACGGTGAATGGCTTCTCTGGAAGAAAGATGAAAGAACTACTGAGAATGAGATGATAGCTCAGAAGCATTAAAAGGGTAAAGAATGAGGTGAATAGAGGCAGTGGGAGTATAAATGAGAAATAGTTGTAGTTTACATTCTACAGAGCACACTATTTAAAACCAAATTGAGGAAACAGGGAAGGGGATCATTTGTCCCATAATTTGATCCTTCAGCTCACATACTGCCCTTGTAGTCTGCTGCCTTTTCTTCCAACCTTCTCAGCTACTTTTCCCACTTCCCTTTACAATTGTCTTCAGATTCATTCAAGGATTTAGCCATCTCAGTCAGACATCCTATAGTGAACAGAAAGTGGAAGTAAAATCTCAGTTATGTAATAAAGCATATCCCAAAGAAAACTGGAGAGTCAGTGTGCAATGTGCCTTTACCATCTGCACTGCTCTTGCATGGTACAGTGCCATTTGGAGCACAGGGGTACTTCCCAGTTTTGTGACCTGTCTCCCACATGGACGTACAAACACAGTCACTTGCAGAGTTACACAAGTTCACGGAGGCATTTGGGAGTTTCGGGTTTTAGATACTATCCTCACTGCACTGCATAGCTTAAGAACAGAAAAGCACAGTTGTTGGCACAATTTGGAGCACGTGACTCAAATTAATCTCTTGGATTTACCTTGCTATTGACCCTATGATTTAAGCCACAGAAACTGTAGCGGATTATAGATGGGATGTTCCAACACAACTGAAACAAGTCGACACTAGATGACAGGCATTTATATTTGCCACGCAAAGGGTTTCTGCTGGTTTATGCATAGGTCCAGCTGTATTTTATGATTTTATTTTTTCTTTTCCTTAATTAGCACTTATGTTTTGCCAACAACTCTCTACAGCAGGTGGGACTACTTAGTAAGATTACTTAGGTGGTAAAATAGACAAGATTCCAACCCCAATCTGGACCATGACCCAGACCACTCCAGGATCCTTTGCACAGTGCTGCTACTTGCATTTCTCTGGGAGAGTCTGTATTCCTTCACAGTTACATCAGTTCCTTAGGAAAATAAATTGCACACTACCACAACAGCACAGCTCACTGCTGCCCTTCTGGTCTAGTAGAGCCAAAGTCAGTGCTGACTGTGCCTGTTAGAACAGGTGTCCTATGTAGAACAGACCCAGGTAGTGTAACTGATCCGCTTTTTCGGAATAAGAGTTTTCTTACTAGTGCGGGAGCTAGTTCAACATGGTCCCACAGAAAATTAGCCCTGCTACTGTTCTAAACATGCAGATGTCTGGAAAAATACTGGGGCTTTTACTGCCCAAGTACTTAGACCACTTTAATATCCACCAGGTTCTGTGATGTAGGTGGGATTGTGGACATAACATGCATCCGAATTTACAGCAACCCAAACCTTGACTCACCATTTAAGCCTGTGTAAGTTCTTCCAGAGCGTAAGTTCTTTACATGGAGGTAAAACAAACAAATCACCACTGTTTAACAATGAAGTGAGTGCTTGTACTTTCAACATATTTCTGTTTTCAACTCAGTCTCTTCCTATAGCTGGGTCTGAGCTGCACAAGCTCTCATAGAAAATGTCCTTCATGATTCATTGTGTTACTAGGGAGCGAAAAATATGTTGAGAGGAACATTTAGTGCTGGATAATTCAACTGAGAAACAAATTCAGAACAAGCAGTTACAATTAGCAGATATTGTTATTGCCAAGATCTTAACATTTCATAACCAGACATAATTAAAAGAGCAGTGTAGGTGCCTGGCATCCCGCTTCATTTAGTTCAAAGCCTTTTCCCTGAATCTAAATTCTAGAAGCAGCAGAGGAACAGCACTCATTATCCAAGGGGAAACCATGTTGTTCAGCCCTCATCAATGCATTGCATCTCTTTTTAAGCTTCTAATTGCTACTCTGATGCAGCAACAACTCCTACGGTATGGTGAAGGGACGCGCAAAACTCCCCATCACGCGGCTTTATTTGGGGAAGTTGATAGATACTCTGCTCTAACACCAGAGTGTGGCAGAGTCACATGAAAACACAATAAAGGACCCTTCCAATTACTCGTCTGACTTGGAACTAAAACACAGTGAATGGGTTTTGATCAAGGACTAAATGCAAAATTTGTATGTTGTTGGAATTGCACTGACGGGCTATGACCTTTGCTTTGACCTAACTCACTTCTAGGGATTCTGCAGATCGTTTCATGTTCTCACAGCAGCCCTTGTACCTCCCAGCTGTTCTCCAGCTGTTTCTCCTCTTTGACTTTCACCAGTTCCTCTGGTAGGGAAGCATACATAAGAAGGACATATTATTATTTCAGTAATGAACTCTCATTAATTTTGCAGGTTCGGTATTTTATTATTTCCACCTACTGTTAGATCACCTAAAATTTGCTTTTCATCCAACTTTGTTATAAATAATAGTGACTGGATGCAAACTGCAGATTGCCAAAGTTGCCAGGTTTATTCTTTAAGTCATATAAGCTCATTGGAGGCAATAGTACACTATTCTGGGGTAAACTGCAAAAAAATTCACTAAGTGGACTACATATCCTCTGCATAAATTATAGTAGAACTATTTAAAACTTGCATTGGTCTATGTTTTTATTTCAAACGTACCCAAACAGCATTCTGCAGTTATCTTGAACAATTAAGCACATGTACTGATAGAAATTACCCTCTGATTTTACTTATAATGAAAGATTTTTTTTCCCCCATTCTTTTTGTTCAGAAAATTATTTTAATACATTGCAGTAATCTATAAATAACGATGAAAATCCTTAATGTCAAGGAAATGAAAAGTACAGCACATTCCCTGTAGGAGATGGGCTCCCCGAAGGAGCATTAGAAGGTTTTTACTTTGACAAGTAATAAATTATTAGCCACATGTTAAACTGATAAAAGGCTGATATAATGCTCATGTTTCCTAAATGGAATCTGGTTTCTGCATGGTAAAATCTAGATATTCAAGCACATTTTACTGAAAGTATTGAATTCCTTCTGAACTCCTTTGCTTCTGTAGCAACAGCTTATCTGAGCTAAAGGAGGCTTTGATCAGTTCCCCAAGTCCTAGTCATGGCACAATACCTGGCAAAGCCCTATGAAAGAGGACAAGGTTGTGAATACGTGATGTACTCAATATGCACACTGGGTTCTCTGTTGGCCTCTGGGACAGGACATTAAACTGTATTTTCCAAGCAGGCACAGCACAGAGACTGAGCTGAATGCTCTTCTTTCCCTTCAAGACACCAGCATTTAGCTCCATCAAGGTCTACAGACTTCCCCACCTACTCTGGGCAAACCAATTGTTGCATAAAGGCTGCAGATCTTGCTGAGAAGCTTCAGTTCTTAGTTTCAATATTAGGATGCAAGGTCATACTCTAGGTTACCTTATATATTTTTTTTCTGGATGACTAAAATTGTACTCATGGGGAAAAGATAACGAAGGGAAACAACTAAGGGATTTTCCTTTCCCATGTCTTCCTGTCTTTACCATTGTACTTCCAACAGAACCTAGTTCTCAAAAAAACTTATTTTCCCTAAAGTTTAGTGTTCCTGCAGTTCCCTTATGACAGCGTCTGAGCTCCATGAAAAGCTCACACAGAAGGGGAAAAAGCCCAGCCCAAAGCTACTTCACTCTGAGATGTGCATTCAGAACAGTACCAAAGCAGCTCATGTAAAGATCTGGGCCTGGATTGTCAGCACCAAGTAGAGCAGCTTGAGGAGCACTTTAGCAGAATATAGAATCACAGAATAGTTAGGGTTGGAAAGGACCTTAAGATCATCAAGTTCCAACCCCCCTGCCATGGGCAGGGACACCTCACACTAAACCATGTCATCCAAGGCCTCATCCAACCTGGTCTTGAACACTGCCATGGATGGAGCATTCACAACCTCCCTGGGCAACCCATTCCAGTGCCTCAGTACCCTAACATGAAAGAATTTCCTCCTTATATCCAATCTAAACTTCCCCTGTTTAACCCATTACCTCTTGTCCTATCACTACAGTCCCTGATGAAGAGTCCATCCCCAGCATCCCTATAGGCCCCCTTCAGATACTAGAAGGCTGCTATGAGGTCTCCATGCAGCTTCTCTTCTCCAGGCTGAACAGCCCCAAATTTTTCAGCCTGTCTCCATATGGGAGGTGCTCCAGTCCCCTGATCATTCTCATGGCCCTCCTCTGGACTTGTTCCAACAGTTCCATGTCCTTTTTATGTTGAGGACACCAGAACTGCACACAATACTTCAAGTGAGGTCTCAGGAGAGCAAAGGGGCAGGATCACCTCCTTCGACCTGCTGGTCACACTCCTTTTGATGCAGCCCAGGATACGGTTGGCTTTCTGGGGTGCAAGTGCACACTGACGCTGGCTCATGTTCATTTTCTCATCGACCAGCACCCCCAAGTCCTTCTCCGCAGGGCGGCTCTGAATCTCTTCTCTGCCCAGCCTGTAGCTGTGCCTGGGATTGCTCCGACCCAGGTGTAGGACCTTGCACTTGGCATGGTTAAACTTCATGAGGTTGGCATCAGCCCACCTCCCAAGCGTGTCGAGGTCCCTCTGGATGGCATTCCTTCCCTCCAGCGTATCAACCGAACCACACAGCTTGGTGTCATCGGCAAACTTGCTGAGGGCGCACTCAATCCCACTGTCCGTGTCAGCAACAAAGATGTTAAACAAGACCGGTCCCAACACCCATCCCTGAGGGACACCACTTGTTACTGGTCTCCAGCTGGACATTGAGCCATTGACCACAACTCTGTGTGCGGCCATCCAGCCAGTTCTTTAGCCACTGAGTGGTCCATTCATCAAATTGATGTCTCTCCAATTTAGAAACAAGGATGTCATGTGGGACAGTGCTGAACACTTTGCACGGGTCCAGCTAGATGACATCAACTGCTCTACCACTGTCCATCAGTTCTGTATCCCCATCACAGAAGGCCACCAAATTGGTCAGGCAGGATTTGCCCTTAGTGAAGCCATGCTGGCTGTCACCAAGCACCCTGTTGTTTTTCATGTGCCTTAGCAAAAAATATAACAGTAGATTCAGCAAGAGGGATAAAAATCCAACTCAGATTTCAGTATTTCCATACTCAATTCCTGACACCAGTTGTAAAAATCAAACACATGTCTACAAGGGAAGGACTGTAGAAGACCCTTAGGGTATTTCACTTCTGAAAGTTATAGTCTGTTATATCATCAGCAATAAGTACCATAACTAAGTAATAAAACATAATCATCCTGAAACAAACACTTACAATTTTAAGTCTGCAATGAAAAGGTCTACTGCTTCATGACTGACAATTGTGTTTAAAGAAATATATTAGGACTTAAAGTATTAGTATAGGACTCCATGCACGCATATAATAAGGTCATAATATCTTATGAAATTTCCTGTTTGCCAGTTCTAGCATTCAGTCATTAGTCAGCTGGACACTAACTACAAGACAACAGGTTTTATCTCAGCAACCTCAAAATAATTTCATCAGCTCCCAGGGAACTGTGACCATTCTCAGAATGGAGTGATACAGAATTTCTCTTCTGCTTAAACTTCAAGCAGATGATGAGGCACAATTTATATTGACCTTACAGGGCAATGAAGCTCTCTCAATGCCTCTGTGAGAACCCAATGATGTTTCACTTCATTTCAGACAAGCAGCATAATAATTTGCCCTTAACTCCACATTCAGATGCACAACACTTCCCACACAGACAAGACGCAGACCAAGTACACCCTAGTTCCATTGCAGCTTTTGTTTCTGTCTTCCCACTTTGAACCCCACATCAGGATCTGTTACTTTGCTACACAAAAATTCATCTCATTAAAGAGTTTTCTTATTAAAATTCTTAACCTTAAAGGTACTGTATGACAAATACTGAAGATAATTGGACCTCACTCATGAAGAGAGAATACTCATAAAACAAAGGGAGTGCTTTCATGTCCTTCCATCAACAGGTCTTCTACTGTCTTTTTAGTGTCTTACACGGTATTTTAAGAAAAACCCCATTAAAAATTTCTAATTAAAATTTCACTTGCAAGTCACTGTTTTTGAAATATCTTCACCAGAACAACAAAGCAGGTAGCAAAAAACTTTATGCCCTGAGGTTCTACTTCTCAAAATTATATATATTTCATCGGTCTGATGTTTTACTTTTACCCAGCTAGCCTGAAGCTGTCCAAAGTGCATAGTTCCACACCAAATTAGTTAGAGCCTCTCTAACTCTGAGAGACTTAGTTGAGAATTTCACAAAAATCAGCTCAAAGACAAGACAACAAACCCCAGGAAATTTCAAAGCTTCAGACAGAAGAAAGACCTATGAGCTACTCATGATTAAAGGCATAAAATATTACACAGTTCAGCAAATAACTTGAATAAACTTGAATAGGCTCATACAGCACAATTACTGTTTTTGCAGGATATTTTCAGGAAAGAGAGGGTGAAACCATAAAGGTTTGCCTATCTGTAATTCCAAGTCTGATACATAGCTTCATTCCTTGAATGGTGCTTGCAGGACTTAGTACAGTCATTTCCAGAGATGATAAAAATAATGATTTCAGCTCATTATGATGGAAGCACGCACACTTAAACAAACTAAACTACTTTCATACTGATACAAAGATACCTAAGGGAAACTGAAGGTCAAATAGATTTATGGCATAAGTGATTCAAAGTGTTCTACCAGAATTTAAAAGTGCATTTTGTCTACACAATTTTGTATTTATGAATAAAACTGTAACTAAGGGTCTGTTACTCAGTGTTATTATACAAGCAGCACAAAAACACTCCCCAAAACCAACAAACAACAAAACACACAGAAATACATTTCAAGAGCAAGAATATTGTAAAGAAAACTACACAGAACAAAAGATAAATCAGTTTCAGATTATCTCCCCAATGACCAAAATATGTCAGCAGCATGGGTTTGCAGGTCTTTAATCACTGTTTGTTAAGTAACAGCAAATTAAAGGCCCATTTTTGCAGCTTGTTGTGAATTGCTAACTGCCTCTGGCTTTGTTACAGCCTAGAGAGACTGAATCACCCAGTATACTGAAAACTCTAAGTGCAACTAAATATTATGATAAGGTAGTTAAATTTTATACTTGACTATATTTTAATTTCATTGAAGTAACACAGATTCTGACTGGTTTTAGAAAAGACCTCCATGTTTCACACTGCCTGCTTCTGTACCTCAGCTTCAGATACCAAAGGAAAAAGAAAACAAAAAGCAGCATAGATGTGGTGTAAATCAGTATCACTCTTCAAATCCATACACTTAATCCAGTTTACCACAGATAAGAATAAGGCTGTAAGCACTTCTAAATTGCTGCAATGCATTCACTGTCATTCTCTTCCTTCATCAAGTGATTCTGAAATGTAGAAAACTCAATCAGAAAACTGAAGACAAAGATCAACTTTCCTTTTATCACCAGTGGTAACCAACACTTCAGGTTCCCCAGGTTTTTTGGACTGTGATCCCCGTGACCTGCTGGCAAGAACTGCAAACCGAGACACAAACACAAGCTTTGGTATTTCCATGCTTATCTATGCTTCTATCAATGTATGCTGTAGTTTTATGTATACATGATCTGCCTAAAAAAGTTAGGATGTTGCCACAACCATTCCAACACTCTCCAAACCAGCTACACCAAACACTCCCAAACACACACATTTCCAAAAGGGAAGGAGTGTCATAAGACCCTCAAAGATATCCAGTGTGGCTGATTCTGGGTGGGAAACTGGAAGAGAAGGAATGTGGTTCTTGATTAATCCCATTTCCAGTAGGCCCACCAAAGGCTCTCTAATGCCAAGGAATATCCCAACCTGTAAAGCATTATTAGGCAAATGTTGTGCTGTTGTGTGTGAACGGCACTCCAGTTAAAACTACAGTGAGGTGCTGAACCTGCTCCTTAAGGGCATGCTCACTTGAGAGAAGCTGAGGTTGTCACAGCTCTTTACTCAACCCTGACTAAAAGGTAGCACTGAGGACTGCCAATATTTATGCAACTCTCTCATTTTATTCAGAGAGCAAGATCAACCAGGCAAAAAGCCTTGGAGCACCCTGCACATAACAAGTCAGCAGTAGCACTCATTGCTCCTAACTGCTTTCCTGCTGAATAATCAAGCTGGTATTAACTCTGGAAGTTTTTCTCTTCCAAGATGTCGTGCGTAAGTCAAGAGGCTTCAAAGCTGAGGACTCTGCACAGAGTTTACTCTGCTAAAATTTATGCATGGAAATTGTCCCAAGGAACTCTATTTCCATGACTGGGTCTCATGAGATAGCAGGGAAGCAGGCCTAGAGGAACAAGTAGTAATGGAGCTTTTCCCTCAGGAAATCTGTGGGTTTCCCTGTGAGGAATTACTCCAATTACCACAGCTCACTGATTGCCACAGATACAGTTTCTTCTTTCTTTCTCTTTCTCTCCATTCATGCCTTTTGTGCTGCATGGGCCAATCCATTTTTTATTCACAGGCTCTGAGATGATCAGTAAATTCACTGTGCCATGCCAGATAGGTTTCAAGCTAACATCTCCTCAGCTGTCACCTGCAGTTACATATGTCACCAGTGAAGTGCCCCTATAACACTGCATTGGCCTCCCTTCCCAACATAGTCCCTCAGTGTACTTCTACTGACTGACGAAAATCATTGAAGAAGCATCTTACCAACCCCTCATGGCAGGTGGATGGAACTAGGTGAACTTAAGGCTCTTTCCAACCAAAACCATTCTATGACCCTATGTGCACCAAATGTGCAGATGAGTTTAACTGAATCTGCAGGAATACCACTTCGGTCTTGAGCCAGTATTAAGACACCAGTGTTCAGGATTTTATCCCACTCTTCCAGTCCATCAACAAAGTGAAGCACACATGGATGGATGATGTGCTAACTCTTCAGGGGCTGTGCTCCACCAGCTCTGTTCCAAACAGATCTGAGGATAAGACTAGGTGCCAAACAGGACTCCCAAAGTCAAGTCACTGTGCGAGTCCCTTCTTATTTAACATCTCTGTTTTGTTACTGACTTCTGAGAAACATTTTGTATTAACATAGGGCAGCTTTAAGATACACCTCTAATGCTGATATACAAATTATAACACTAAGCTGAAAAAAGGAAAATGCTCCAGTGATTCGCTCTTTTGATTCTGGGATCTCTGTCTCTTCAACATATAACTATCAAATCAGGGTTTAATCAACCTGACACTAGTAGCTCATAGAGATGCCTCCAGCCTAAATCCCTCAACAGACAATGAGCATTGTGCCTCAAAACCACAGAATGGTTCGGGTTGGAAGGGACCTTAAAGGTCATCCACCTCCAAGCCCTGCCATGGGCAGGAACACCTTCCACTAGAGCAGCTTGCTCAAGCCCATGTGTCCAACCTGGCCTTGAACACTGTCAGGGATGGGGCAGTCACAGCTTCTCTGTGTACCCTCACAGGGAAGAGTTTCTGCCTTATATTTGACCTAAATCTACCTCCTTTCAGTTTAAAGCCCCCTTGTCCTACCATTACATGTTGCTTTCCAAGTTAAAACATCAGTCCATTTATAATTATCGGTGATGATTCGCATCATACAATGCCAGTTCAGCATGACTAGGTCTCCCACCTTGCCTCAAACTTTCTGATAGTTAAGATCCCACCTCAAAAGCACTTTGTAAAGGCCCTACGTTGAATCCTGGTCTACCCTGGGTGCTCTTCCAAAGATTCTCCCGCACACCTTCAGTCTGACAGCCATCTAGTGGTACCTGCACTACTCTGCAAGGTAAACAAGCAGCTAACTCAGTGCTTATAGATGCGTCTTCTTGAAGCGCTGGAAGTTGTTCTGGGAGAATGTATTTACATCCTTTATTTATTTACCACTATCCTATAAAAAAATTACAATGTATTCCTACACATTAAACACATCACCAGAATGCTGTTCATGGATTTTTATAGTTGCCACCTTCCATGCATCCTGCCCCCTGAGGTGAGATGAGGTAACAGGGCTAACGCTGCTGCTTCCTTCAGACCAATGGTGCTGCAGAACCCCCGTCCTTCCTGCAGCCAGGCCTCTCTTCCTCTCTAGAGGGAAACAAAGCATGGGGTATTCCTGCAGTCTTCTTGCACGGCTGCCCAATGGATGGTTGCTCCAGGACACATACATGGTATACAAGTGATTCATCCATGGATGCAGACATTGAAGATGCTATTCTACCCTTAGGCAACACAGTATGGCAGTGATTTTTACAGCTGCCTTTAGCTGCTGCATACTCCTCCTCAGTGCCCCTCTTACCCCTCCTCTGCTTTCAAGCATCCATCTTGTACAACTCAATGACAATTGTCAGATTCCTTCTGCAGACTAAGCTCGTTGTTACACTAATTTCCAGCTGACTCAGAGGGACTTCTGTAACAAATACAACCTGAGCTTTTCTAGTTCCTTCCTCAGTTCCCATCCTTTCATATTCTAAATGCTCAGATTTACCCTGCCTGCCCTCAATCACGTAGAGGTCTTTGTAATGATTTTGTCTTCACGTATCCCCTTCTCTAATCTCCTTTTACCTTAGCCTTGCTCCCACCAGAAGTAATGAAAGCAAAACCACATCTGTGAGATGCTTTGCATGACAAAGTTACAGAAACCCACATAACACTGAGCACATTTCTAAGCTCAGCAGACCATGGCACTCATTCCTAACTATAGACATAATTTACTACTAGACATAACATAGACTGAGAGACAGGCTTGAGACTTTACAGGTTCTGTATTGCCCTGAGGTTTTGAGAACTGTGAAATTAAAATATCTTGGGCAATTTAGCATGAAGGCAAAAAGATTGAAAATTAACATTAAGTTTTATTTAGGTTTACCCAGAAGGCAGGAATGTATTCTAGTGTTAAGGGAAGAAAAAAGGCAAAAGAAGATTTATGGAGTCAGCATCAGTACTCAGAGTCAGGTATGATTATACCATATATTACAAGCAACGCAAAGAAAACCAACTGCCTCTGATGTGTGCCTTTAGCTTTACATGTAGGGGTTAATTCACAGTAGATAGATTGACACAGTTGAGGGGAACACCTCATTGCCAAAAGCATGATTTGACCCCAGAATACAGTAACTTGTCAAACAACTATCCAAGTGGCATCAGGCAGATTGCTCAGCCAAGGGCTCATACTGGAAAGAAATATTGTAAACAAGATTTGAAGGAACACAAGCTCTGGCGAGCTACAAAGACAGTGGCAATGGCAGATCCCAGCATACTGGACTTCATGCCTTCTTTTCCTCTACTTTTAATACGTTCAAGCCCTAACCTAATTAAACCCTCAGCTTACCTCAGCAGAAATGCCTTGTAGAGAACTTGTGTGCAATGTTTTCCTCCAGCACTCAGAAGGGATACAAGAAGCCCTACAACCAATAAATAAAACAAGAGAAACTAGTTCTACCTTTACCACTTGACAGAGAAACCCCCCTTACATTCTCCAGCCTCAATTCCTACAGCAGATAATCTTCCTTCTGACTGTCAGCATGCTGACCACTCAGCCCCAGGCATCTGAACCTTCCATGAGGCCCAAGCTGCTGCTGTTCCTCAGCATTTATAATGATCCCAGCTTGCCTTTAGCCCCAAGCCTGATTAGTTAGCAACAAATTATTTGCTTACTGTGGTTCTATGTCTCTTTGTGAAGTTCTGCAAGCAACCAAAAGAAAGAAGAGAAAGGAAAAGCTCTAGCTGGCACACATACAAACACGTATCTTGATGTGGAAGATAATATCCTTAGGGAGGAAAAAATGAGACATTAATTTTCCCATGACACAGCGCAGCAGAACACAGTGTTATGCACTCTCTAAGAAATTAGGGTTTTTTTCTCCCATTAAAAAAGGCAGCAGGTTTTGTCATGGACCTTATACCAGCTCCTTTCACAGTTCAGATGCATTGATCACGGAAAGCTCTCACGACAGACCCTCCTTCACAAGGAATTCACAGTGAAAAAAGTAAATAGACTTAATTAGTGGTGTGTGCCTTTCCAGAATGGAAGTTCTAACTAATAGCTCAAAAGCTACCTGGGAGCTCCTTGTGAAACAAATTACTTCTTTCTTTTTATGTATCAGAGGAAGTGAACCAAATTACAGAAGTATTAAAAATCATGCTAATATTTTGTCATTTATAATTGCAAATACAGTGCATGCAAGTATACAGAAAAGCAAACAAATTGCTCCTGACCCCTCTGAAACTTGAAAAGGTAGATGGGAAGGAAACATAACAAAATGAACTGATCTTTAGACATCAGCCTTTTTCTGTGCAGATAAATCTCTGCTGAAATTAAACAGAAGTAAACAAGATAAAAAAGTTAACCACAAAACCAAAAGATAATTCAAGTTAGTAATGTAAAGTCAATAGGAAAATAGGGACTATTGAAAATGAGCTCATATCTTTACATTGGCAAAAGATTAAATGCCGTGTTTAAAAGACTTCAGTTTATTGTGTTGTATTACATTAAATTTATTTTTGACAATGGCTTGGTTTTACACTGAGTAGTGTGATATCCAGTGCTATTTTAAGTACAGCATAAAACTCTTAATTATTCTTGAACACAGTTGTTATTACTGTACCATGTTACATTGACAGGCACATATAAATATGGTTCCATTGAACTGGGAGCCCCTCCCAGACATGATTTTGGTTTGGCCTATAGACTTTTTCTTCACATTAAGCCACTAAAATAACTACTTATCACTAATTATCTAGAGGTCCAGCAACATTGTATACTGAGTGTATTACCTGTAGAAAGAATTAAGATGTCTGCTCAGATAGTTCACAGTCAATGCAAAAGGTAAAGGAAGGAGAACCATAGAATCATAGAATAGTTAGGGTTGGAAAGGACCTTAAGATCATCAAGTTCCAACCCTCCTGCCAGGGGCAGGGACACCTCGCACTAAACCATATTACCCAAGGCTGAACATTTTCCACGTCTTCATAGCTTCACATTTTTATGTAATGTTCTTGTTTTCAGCCACCTATTTTTAAACGTCTCAGCAGGATATGCTAGTAAGTGAGCCAGGGGGAAGTGCTGAAGGAGGCAAATTAAAAAGAGAAAAATGAAGCCCAGTGGACAAGGTTAAGAAGGCAAGTTTTAACATGCACAGGGAGCTGGGCTGGAGCACGTACAGTGTGGGAGAGCTGTCTCATTACCAAAAAAACACTTTTGAAATATGGCTTTAATTGTAGCCCTAATGCTTGTCATCACCAGGTCTCACTGATTTTCACTATTGCCCTGACTTGCCTGTGAAGCATTGTCAAGGCCGCATTTTGTGTGGCAAGCACCCAACAAAACAATGTGACCACTTCCCCTCCCTCCTGACAGCAGTAAATATGCAGTAAGGTTAACAGTAGAAGCATTGTGTTCATTAGTCCTGTTTAACAAGTAGATTTTCCCAACTTCAAGAACATCACAAAATCATTAATCACATTATTGACAACAAGTGAAAAGTCAAACTCTAGGAGAGCATCATACAAGACTTCCACAAATTCCAGATAAAGGCCAAAGCTGATAGCTGAGTTAAGGTTATAAAGCTCAATCGTGACCCAACTCTCTAATTCTCTGCTCTTTACATATTAATGTATTGGAAAAGCCCGTCAGCTGTTTCAGTATCACATACCAAGCATGAAGCAGCACAGCAGGTCCACGAACAGCAGCTCAAAGTATGCACCTCAGTCTGATGAGACATTTGCTGTTGGCCTGGTCGTTTTTAAACTTACCTAAATTACCTTTCGGACAGTTTGTATGATCACTGCTATGGAACCTGGAATGATTTTTTTTTAATGCAGAAAATGAGTGGCAGATTAGGAACACATGTTTCTTGAACCAGCATAATACTGCTGAAATGCCTTTAAGAGAAATTGCTGCTACGACATTTTTGTCACAAACTGTCTTCAAAAAACACATTCCTCAAATCAACAAAAAGTACTAGTGATATTTTGCAAATTTTTTCTATTTATAGATTTTTGGTTGGTTGATTTTTACCATACAGCTGTTTTTTGTCCCCAGACAATTAAAATTGTTGATTTATGTAAAGCTAGATCAGATCTTTCAACATAAACACCAACTGTAATTAACAAGTTTCCTTTTCTTACTTGTTTACTGATGAAGTGGAAGGGCAGAACTTTGGTCTGCTATAAGAGAATATAAAATGAAACCCAGTAAGGACTGGCTATCTAACACTGAGGACGCCTGAAAAACCTGAGAACACTGTGATTAGGAAGTTCACTGAAAAAAAACCCAAAGCATAAAATTGAGGAGACAAACCCCCTCCACACATTTCTTTTTCTTTTCCCTGTAACAGCACAAATTTTAACATAAGCTTTTATCTGGCAGCAGTAAAACATGAATTATTTCTTAGGCTGAACTATCACTACATGTTTCATAAGGATTAACTAGCATGTTATTAGAGTAGTCAGTGATTCAGAATGCCAGAAGACTGGAAGATTAAACAAAAGCTAATCTCTGGAAAAGTAGGACAAAATGCTTTGTTTCTTTTTCAGGAAAAAGAATTCACAGCATGCAGGTTCCCAAAAGCTAGCTTCTCCCTCTCTGAATTGGTAAGACAAAGTTTTTCTCAACCATAATACTTCCCCATCTACCTGTCCCACAGGAATGCAGCTTTCAATAACTGTATTACAAAACATGATGGATAGGGAAGGAAAAAGTGTTGCTCATGTTTTTGACAGCTTAACACTAGTAATAACGAATTTTTCTATGAATCAGGCAATTCTTATTGCACTGCTGGTCAGACAACAAGGGTTGACATGTCAGGTTGCTGCTAAGTTTGAAGAGGTATTCAGCAAACCACTGAGAAACAAAATGCTGTGAAAAACATTTTAAAGGAAAATATTGGCAGAATCAACATTTACTTTAACCTGAATACAACAGTATAAAGCATATTTAAGTTCCCATCACAGACTTATCAGCTGTAGGACACATTCTAAGAGAATAAGATCAGTTTGACACATCGTGTTCTACCAGAAGTCCCTTACTACAAAGGACTGTTGCTTTCACAGAACTGTGAGTGCTGCCAACCTTCAATTATTCTCAGAAAAGAATAACAACTAGAGTTTTGGATGCAAAACCTGAAATCAAATTATTAGGGGTTATAAGCAGTGCCTCTTTATTCTCTTCTTGTGTTTTCATGATGGTATGTAAATTTAATCCAAAGCAGCTGTGTGTTCAAGTCTTAGCTTTAGAACTCTGTTTCTAAATGTCAAAACAATGTACTATCATCATATTGATGGAAAAGTTTATATCCAGGTTATCCTTGACTAGGCAGCAATGTCACATTCTTCAAAAGATAGATGAGTTTTCATTCAGCATGACATTTAAATAATGTTAACTGTTCATATGAGAGAGATGGTGAATTTAGAGTCAACCTCCTAATACTGTTCTGCATTAGGTTTGTCTTTTATATTTAACTATTACACTTTTAGCAGCATCTCTCACCAAGTTCTGCATTGGAAATATCAGTGGCAATCAATCAGGACTCTGATAGTAAAAGATAACGACAACACAGTTCTTGGTAACATAAGACATAAACAGAGAGCAACGGATATGCCTCCTACATAATACTTAATTTTCAAAAGTGGCTTAAGTTTTTTTTTTTGACATTTTAAAGACATTTTAAAGAGAGTTTTAGTATTTAAAGGACCTTTGACAGCTATCAATAAAAATACCCAGGAATTCAGCACTGAACTTATGCAGAAAATCATGAAAATGGTCTAAAATGGCCTTTGAAATGTCCAAATATCTTCAGTAACTCTGGAAAATATCTAGTATCATGGTGTATGACAGTGAAATGTCACACATTAAGTAGGTCTCTTGAACACTTCTATTAAATGATCTCCTGAACTAGAATAATCTTCCTATCCAAGTGCAAATTGCCCAGGAATAGCAGTTGCACAAATACTGCAGCTCCTGGGAGGATTTATCCAGGGGTGAGTGAAGCTTTTAAACATTTGCAATTCATACCTGAGTGATCTCTTACTTCCCTCCAAGCTCCCTCTTACAGTCATGTTCTGCTGAGAGACCCAATTAAACAGATGCAGCTGCCGAAATCAGTTCTCTTAACGGTAATGCATCAGTTCATGACTCTCCTTGGGACCAAAGGCACCTCAGAGGAAGCAGCTCTCTGACAGCTGGAAAGGAAGCTCCTGCTCATCTGCTCCAGGGTCAGACCTTTCCTGTGGCAAGGTCTGGACCCAGCAGTTGGTACTGGGCACTTCTTGCCTTCAAGGATGCTCTGATGTGGATGCAATGATCTGATAAGAAATTGGAAGCAGCAGGGCTGGGTTGTGAGGTCTGCTCAGTGCATCCCGTTCAGTTGAACTATGCTGGAAAATAAAAGAACCAACTTAAGACTTTCTGAATTAATATTTCTTGTCAGCCTTGCAGCGCACAGTTGGCTACCCTTTGAGACTGAAACTCAGCATAGATTGACAAGACATAGATAGTGGTATCTTGCAGGAGAAAAATGTTAAGACTACTTGCCAGAAGTAAAGTACATAACACATTCACCTCAATTAGGCAAATTACAAGAAGATTAAAAGCTCTTCTTCCTCTCCTAGGTTTTGCTTTGCTCCCCATCTCCTGTGTATTCCACGTATGGAACCTGATTTATTGTTGCCTTGTACCTCTTCTCAAGAAATATGAACCAAATCAGTGTTCAGTAAACACATAAAAGCCCTCTTACTGATCCATAGTTTCAGCCAGGTCTTGTGTTAAGCATTGCTAAATGTGGAAGTGTGAGCTAGCTTTAAACTCAGAAGACTCCAGGCTAGCAGCTAGTATGGAATGTTTATCAGTCAGATCATCACTTACTGGCTTGTTCTGTTCCCACAAGTTCCTCTATCCAGTCCCTTAAAATTAGAATAACCACTTCTCAGAAATGAATGAAGTTTCTATAGTTTCAGATCTTGCAGTTAAAAATTAACTGTTATCAGTGTTACAATATTTAGCATCTGCTGCAAGTCACTCCTGGCTAGTTATCAGCTCTTCTATGGCTCCCTAATGATTATCTTTGAGAGGGAGAGGCAAGGACAAACTATATTTTATCCTCAGTGAGATAATTCAGCTCATGCTGGCAGGCAGACCTGGCAAATGTTTCTCTTGAGTAGACATTTTTGATGGACGTTGCCACAGTGACATTTGCCAAAGCAGCATCTGTAAAAGAATAAGGGATGAGCACATCTATGCCCATGTTCTGTGTAGGCTAGATGAAAAAAGCCATGAGGAAGAACTTAGCAGATGTTACCATTTGCAAACAGCCATTTTGGAGGATTAATAGCTCCTGTAGCCTGAATAAAATGGCAGAGTTGGTGGGTTTTTTCTCCCACTGGAAAATAACTTTCCTAACTGACCCAAAATCGGAAGGTGGAAGATGTGTTCAACGTCACATGCATCCTTCCAATTTCAGTGAATTCCACCTTGAAATCAAAGGTAGACACCAGCACCATTTCCAGGGTGTTTTGGTCATAAAGCACACAAAATGCAAAATGCCAATATTTGATAGGTAGGGCCTAGATCCTTCCACACGTATGTCAAAAAACACACAGTCGGAAATTTTTATTCACATTCACAGATGTGTATTCCCAAAATACTATATTTGCAGTGACTTTTGGAAAATCTAAGGAAATATCTATTACTTCTCAGGAGCTGGCATTCTGTGATTCAGGTTTGGCTTCCTGCCTGCTCGTTTACTTAAATTTTCACTAAATAATCATTTTTGGTTGACACTGATTCCATTGTATTTTATATTCTAGGCTTACCATTCACTTGAAAGCTCAGGAATTGACTATTGATGTCAAGAATTATGAAGAGATGTAGCAAAGTGTTCTGTTAACTAAGCACACAAGGCAGAGTTATGCCCTGAGACAGATGGAAATTAAAAGAATGCAGAATCTGGAGAATTTTATGATCTTCTTACTAAACACAAATTAGTCATGAAAAATCATTTTCTACATACTGATTTACAGGTACCTGAAAATTTAGGCTTGAAAATAGGGATGATATTTTCAGAGACATAGTAATTGTCCTTTCTCAAATCAGCTTGTTTCTCTAGACATTAACAGTTCCTGGGTGGGCAGGTTTTTATCCTGAAAACACTGCTGCATTTCCATATGGTTAAATGCCGTAAGAAGTTTACATCCCAAGTTGTAATGACTGATTGGGATCTAAAAGCACACAGTAGGCCAGCTATCAACCAGGAATGCCTAGCATAGCCTGGAGAAGAGGAAAATATGGGCAAAACCCAGTAACACATACATCCCCCAAAACCAAACACACTCGTACACAACCAGTAGCTTTTGGAGATGGATCTGACCAATGTGCCATATCCACATGGCAGGAAATGGTAGAGTTGGAGGATGCCTTGTCCAGTGCTCCCATTCAGGTTGGTAATTGGGGTCCGAAATTACCATAATTTCCCCTTGTAATTTGTAACCTTTGGATTAGAAAGGGTCAACTACTGCTTATAACTGTTACTCAGGCTGAGGTGCATTAAAAAGCCTAGAGTGAAAGGGCATCAGAAATCAAGAAACCTAACTTATATTCTCTGCATTTGTCAGAGGTCATAACAACAGGGTTATTCTGTACTCAGGCTACTAAATGGACACAGAAAGAATTAGTTCCATAGTTGTGAATGATTGATTACTCTCCTTGGTTTCTAATTTTGTGTCAGCAAATATCTCAGGTTCCGGTCTTAAGGTGGTAAAATAAATCATGATATAATTATACCTTGTCAGTGTTTCAGTGGAAAAAACTGCATGAATTTATTATTTCTGAACAGCAGTCATATAATAACAGAAGCCTAAGGTTTACCAAATTAAACAAATAAATTAACTTCTATCCATGCATTTGAGTCCAGATTAAAAGGACTAAACTCAGATTTTAAAACTGACATGCTTCATTCTGGAAGATGAGCAGGCTACTGCTTATAGACACAAGGATTATGCAGCAAGATAAGCACTTGTAAGTTTGGAAGGCAGCTAGTTTCAAGCTATGAAATACATCAAGTCAAACTGTACATTGAAGCATTGTATCTACTGTCAATAAATATGAATTGTTTTAAATGATTAAAGAATTTGTAAAATTCTTTTGTAAAGCCAATGCTTGGAACTCAAGGTAGTGAATTTATGCTGTAAGGTACCTGATTTTCGGCTGTCAAGCTAAAAACCTGTCTGGAGAGGATAGAAGTCAAAGGCTGAGATTCATTAGAATTCCAGAGCAAGACTGCCATGACAGATTGGACATAAACTGTTCAACAGAAGAGAAAATCACTTAATGATATGTGATAACTCTGCATGTTTCTAATTAGAAGAGGAATTTCCTTGTAACCTCATCACTGCGTAGCTCCAGAGATGCCTTCCTCTTTTTCTTAGGCACATAGGTAACATGAATAAATAGGAGCTGGCCTCAGCCTGTGTGCAGAAGCAGAAAAGTGCAATTTAGAAAAGCTGAATTAGCTTAATCACTTTTGATTTACCCACGCAAAAGCATGAAGACTTGATCCTGAATTCATCCTCAGATGCAAGAGGCCAACAATTCCCTTGGTCACTTTTGTACCCACCCTGTTGCTAGAAAAACTGGGCCTTATTCAACAGCTATGACAGATAGTAAGCTAGCTATTCGAGTTAATGCATAGTCACTCAGCAAGAACAGGACTCTGCTTGGCAGGAATCATGACCCAGACCCATAACAGCACTTAATGTCACCAGTCTTCTAAATTTACTGTGATAAATGGAATATTTCATTGGGTCCTTAATGATTTCTATTATGAGAGTATAAAAGGCAGACACCTGAAAAACCTAAATCACAAGCCTTTGCTATTTGAATAATAGCTCTGCTCCCTGTTTGCCTGGCAGGCAGGGTGAGGTGCACAGAGCAGCACATGGCAAGCCCTTGCCACATTTCTTTTCTGTAACTCGTTTTAATCAAGCAACACTTGACCTGGGAGACATTCATGTTACATCTGGCATATCATCAGAAAGTAAAGGGAACTGCAGCTTGATGAAGCTGGAGTCCATGCTCCATGCTTGCTCTGCACAGCAAGTAGTCTCTCAATATGGATTACTTTCAGCCTTCTAGTCATCTAATTTTTTTCTCTTTTGAGTCTGAATTATCTACTAATACCTTTTTTTTTAGCAATGGAAACTCATTATAATCACTCTGCTTCTTAATCTCATTGCAATTTCAGCATTCAAGAATGAAAGGGTCTAAAATTACATTAAACTTGTCAGGAGACACTGGGAAATGCTGTTTTAAACACCAGATAGCAACCTGAGCCATAAACTCAGAACAACGGACTTTCCTAACCGGGTAAAGAAAAGAGATTTAATTTCAAATTACCTGATTTTAAAAGACACTCAGCTGTAGTCTTCCCATAATCACCAGACTAATTCTTTGAGGACTTGGCTCAGTTAAAGTATGTCATCTACCTAATGTGATTCCTGATGTACTTTCTTTGCTCATTTCAAAGATACAGGATTGTTAGACCATATTTGTGGGAGAGATTCTTGCTACTTACCACTGATGCTCTCTGAATGCCCAATTCACTGTAGTGCACGCTGAAAAATTCCTACTTATCCAAGGCCTTTAAAACTCCAATGATCTCTGAAACCTGTTGGATTTTGGTGATTGACCTCCATATTGAAATGGTTCCCCAAATATCAATTCTTTCCTCTTTGTTTCAAAACGTCCTGTTTTAACAAAGACTGCCAATTTCAGAGCACCAACAATGATGATGCCATTGTTATCATCTAAACCATTAATAGAATTGCTCAGGTAGTGGTCAGGCTGCTGCAGTCACTCTGGGTTAGAAGACCTCTACAATTGTTATGGCTTTCTACTAAATTAATTAAAAGTTCTATAAAATGTATCTACACAGATTTAAAGCTAAGTGGTGGCTGATGCATGAATGGCTTTAACCTGAGGTTAACGTTAAATGAAAAACAAAGGTAAATGGTACTGCATTTGAATGGGCAGTAATGACAAGAAATAAAAGTTTACTACGTGGAAAAGCAATTTTAGAACAAAATTGTGTATTCAGAGATACTGAATATTGGAGGATATTAAAAAAGCATTTAATACAAGCCACTGGTAGGTAATGTAATTTTGTAGAAAAGCCACAGTGAATTGAAAGAGTTCATAAAGTGGAAAATAGAAGATTAAAATAATGAAATTTTGACACCACAAGATATTTTAAAGCTGTGATTGGGATAAGGCAATCCCATTATCAAGTTCATCATCTGATGTTATTAAGGGAAATAGCTATGAACATTTCAGAGAGTAGATTAGATGCTGTGAATAAGTACATCAATGGCTGTGAAAAAAAAAA